GAAAAAAACAATAAACTACTCTCTCTAACAACGTTGCTTCACGCAAGATATAAGAAAGAACATATAGTTTTATAAATTCAATCTCAATTCCATTTTATTGCAGTATTCATAGATGTTTGCTATGAGTAAAAATGAAATATAACTAAATGGTCAGTTGCTATGTAACGAAATTGTATCAAAATGATCTCCGCAAATCAACTTAGCGATATATATATATATATATATATATAATCCCCAAATCTGTTCGTTGAATAGGAAGTAGTATTGTGGCTCGCCTTATCGCAAACACGCGAATTGGATAATGACGTAGCGATCAACGGAACAATTGCCTTACATGAAAGTAGGTTAATACAAGACAAATTGCGGTACAATTTCACATTTATCGCAAAAAGATAATACCGCGCGTTGAAAACTTTAAACGAGAAAGGGAGACGAGCAGGACATAATTAGAAGATACAAAAGTTTATCCGGCAACGCGGCGCGAGCAAACAAATGACGCGGCTGTAGAGACAATTCAGAAGAGACAAATCAAATTAAACGGACAAATCCTATAAAGCGTTGCCATACAAATTGTGAAATTCTCGCGGGACTAGCGAAGTGTCCCAATGTAACAACACTGATGTACTCGCTAATTGGAATTAAACGTTAATTCGTTAAGTGAACGGAACGGAATTGGGAGATAGTTTCCAACTCTCTCTGCTGCTACATCTTGTTTACCATTTGCAAGCGAGCAGAAAAACGGCGTGAAATATTGAAACAAACGGAAATTTCGCCTGTCGGATTTTCCAAGCAGGAAAAAAAACGCATTACTCCTAATAGACAACCTAATTTATCCAACGAGCACTGTACTCTGATCCTCTAACAAAACTCTAAATTTATTTCCTTATCAATTTAACGTTAATCGATCGCATGCCTTTTTAAATAGAAATATAATTTTCCAATTTGTTTCATAATTCCATAATTATTTGAACATCTCGCTGAGCTATTGATTGCTACAAAGCAGCTAAGTTCTTTGACACCACTCCCATCAGAAACTCGCCCACCCACTTAACGCTTTTATCGTAAAGCCGAGATTTTATCGGAGAAACTACGTCAGATCATCCGTATCGTAACTCTCGGTGATTATCGCATGAACCCTTTTGCACCCACGATGTGGTTTAAACGCGTTTTATTCGCTCGCCCTGGAGCGCGCAATAAACCTGGAGAGTCGACGAGTCACCCTTTATCACGTCCTGATTATTACTGGTTCGAGCCAGACTTCCTGCTCCGCGTCGGGACGCGACCGAGGCAAACGGGGTTGGAAATTAACGACACAAACAACCCCTCTACTATCTGTAGGGAATAAAGGGGAAGAGAGGAAGGGGGAGAAAGAAAGAGAGAAAGAGAGAGAGAGATTGCTTTGATTCCCCTTGCGGTTCATTAACGGTCCTTTTGTCGGTTAACACGTGCTATCCTATATACTTATATAGGAATGTATTAACACCTGATCCGCATGATTCCTAGAAATCAAACACAGCGTATTATCGTGCATTATGAATCGAAATAACGTACTCGCAATAACGAATCCGAGATGAGTCGCGATACAGACCAGTGATTCTTTTCACATAAATACACGGAAAAATACATACTGTACTCAAGTAACAATTACTTGTTTCATATTTCAAAAGTTCATATGTTTGCAAATCTATCATAAGTTCATCACAAGCATCATTGAAAATAAATTCTGAATTCTAAGTAAATTTAATACTTGAATCAAGATTATTAAATTAACAAATTCAATTTGTTTATTTTATGGTTATTTAATGATTATTACAAAGTTGCTTTTCCGATCCATTTTATAATATTCTTCAAAAGAAAATAAATTCTTGTTTTGAGTATGTAATAAAGACTTTCTATTTGCAACAAGTATCTATATTAGATTATAAGAAAATATCCTTTGTTAAAGATAATCGTTATACTTAAAAGGAAGAAAGTAGATCGAGTAATCATTTTTCTTAACAATGATATTTTTCTGTGTGCAGGAAAAAAATTCACAACATCAAACATTATTTAATTGGTAATTATCCTCGCGATTCTGAACTATTTTTCAGTCTATGTAATATTCTATCAAGAGCATTTCACGCAAATGTTTCTGATCCGTTCATCATCCAAATGTATATCTCTATATTTTTACTAAAGAACACTATTAGAAATAATTAACAGAGGCGATTGCGTGCTTTTACTTTGATCGGAAAGGAGGTTGCCCGATTAAGGGTTAAGAGCACGAAGAGAAATACCTTCTCGATGTGTCTCCCTTCCTCCGTTTATCCATTCCAGCGATTAACGAGCGCACACCTCCGATACGGATCCCGAGCGCTCGAGTGAGCGCAATCACGTATCGGGCCGATTATCGGTATATCGATGCTTCTATCGCCGCGAATAATGTATGAATAAAGTGCTACTTCTCTTCCCAAGAGACTGTCGTAATACGCGTGGCGGCGGCGATGTCGATATTCAATCACCGGCACGTAATGTACATCGCTCACCAGGTTATCCACGTGTGCCGCTTATACATATATAACAAAGTACGCGAGGAATCATTTTTCACTTTCCGACTGCGCTAAACCATTCTCGTGACGATTGTCATTCACTTCGTGTAACGAACTCAATGTTCGACTTTCCGACATTCTCGATTGACGGAATGAACTTTGGAACCAAACGCGTTTATCGATATGGCGTAACATCGATAAACGGAAACTTGTGCCATCGAAGCATTGACACATCTTTGATTAAAACGAATAGCGAAAACAAAATTAGTAAGCAATTAGGCATTGAATAATTTTATCTTGAAACGAGAAATTAGATATTTTTCTATTTAAATTCATTGAAAAAAATGTTTAAACAATTCCGTATTAAATGGTTTCACAACCTTTTCTGTGTCTACTTGTCGTCAACAAACATTCGCCATTCGCAGATCTGCGTTGAGTAGCATATTTGCGATAAAATTCAACAGCTTTCATTCTAGACACGCCGAATATTCCGTCAGATATAGAAGTGCACTCTCTTCAGAAGCCGATTAAAAGCAGTCGAAATGAATGGAAACCAAGAACTGCGATGAAGATAGAGTTTCACGATGCACATGCAAAGAACAAATAGTACAAAGATCCAAGCGATAAACACTGTCATTATCGTTGCACAACTCGATAACACGCGTAATACCATAACGAAAGTAACACCGGTTTCAAAAACTTGCGCCGATATCTTCGTTACATCGAGTTTCACTGCGCGACCGCAAAAATCTCTCGAGAGACATCGGCAAATCCGCCCGGAAAATCATCTTCGTATCGCTCGTGCTGAAATCTCCGTGTCTGTTCTTTTTCGACGACGGGAGAACGAAAGAGAGAAGCTCGGCAATCACGGCAACAGCACGATATGCACAGTGAATCGCTTTGTAGCGACTATTTCCAGAGGACAGGCGTCGTCACTCATAGGTGAGCGAGGGGTAGACGAGTGGGGTGACGGACGAAAGGAAGTAGAGGGTGTGTATGTGTGACGGAACACGGGATGGGGGATAGAGAAGCGCACGGAGGGGTAGATCGTCATCGTCGATGTTGTATAGGGTGCAACGAGCGCGGAGAGGGTGCGCGAGGGTAAGTGCATCGGTACGGAAAATGTGTCGGTCGTAGGACGCGTTTGCCGGACGCCGCAACGCGTTGTTCAAGTGCTCCACCCTCTTCTACTCTTCTCTCTTTCTCACTCTTTTTTTAATGATTTTTTTCCTTTTTTCCTTTCCTCACTACAGCCGATTTGGCGACCGACGAGACGCTCTCGGTTAACATTTCGAATCGCACCGTGAACGAAGAAAATGCGAGAAGGAAATGGGATAGGAAAATGATAGCTTAAAATATCTTTAGAAAATAATTATCGATGGAAATTATTGAATAAAAGTGTGATGTCGATACGCCGTTAATTATCGGAGTAAAAGATGTATAGATCCAGGTTGACCAATGAAAAAAGATCTCTCATTGAGATTAGGACGGTTTAGTCTGAAAGCTCCTGCTGTGTGTGTGTGAGACAAGATAACGTGTATATTCCAGATTATAAATAATGCTCTGCCTTAATTATCTGCGATAGATTGTAAATCCTCTTAAAGTGCGTGACATGATATTTAAGGCATAAAAGTGCATTACGTTTAATACTTGATGAAAAAATAACAGAGCGGCAGAGACAGATTTGACGCCTTGACGTTTCATGAGTTTTATAGCAGCGCCTGGTTTATGCGATAATACGAAAGGCGGAAGTAATATGCAGTCGTGATAGCGGTTTAAATCTGAAATTTAACTCTGTAAGGTATAAATCGTCTATTATTCGATGTAACGAGTGTGTCACGTGAATTACAAAATAGGATATATACATCCCTGCAACTGTATCACAATAAATGTTTGCACTCACATCAAAAGTATATTCCCGAATATATGTATGTATAAATATAATATATATAATGTATGTATATAAAAAAATAATATATATATAATACTTTGATTCAGTTATCAGTCAATAATCGAACGTGAGTATTATCACGTAGCAATTTCATAAATATTGATCGAGAGAATCCGATTAATTACAATATATGCAATATTTTCCTCTATTTGCGAGAATAAACATCTGGTTTATTAATGCATTTATTTGTGCGAGAATTACTGCAATGAATATTTCTTTATTCACAATCATCATATACCACATAAAAAAATATTCTAAATATACACATTGCAGAAAAGAAAACGAGCTATTCTGTAAAAGATAGCAAATCATCATCTTGCCAATTAACGCGATGTTAATATATTACTGAGAAGATTAAAGTTGTCTCATCGATAGATCATTTTCGTACCGGATGTAAAAAATGAATGATTGCTTACAAGACTATTATAAACCAGAAGAGTCTAGATATACGAGTTGAACAAAAGCGTGAGAGGTTTCACATCAATGGTGCGTACTGTATGTTGATTACGTAAAGATCGTACTTGAACAGTATATTTCGGTGATCTCGGTGTCACTGTCAATCGCGATTTACCCCTTTCGCGAATCGGTGTTTGCTGTGTGGCGCGCGTCCGTTTTCCAATGGATGAAACCGCGAGAGAGGCCGGACGACGGGTACGTGTTTCCTGTGTTACGCGCGACTGATGCGAACGCGAACAGTAACGCACGCCGGCATTTTCTCTTTCCTCCGGCCGGCCTCGCGCTACAAACTGATGCTACACGCGGTTCGAGTAGCCGCTCTCCAACATGCGCTGACCGATGAAATTAACTCTTATCGCCTTTATTGCCCATTGTTCACGTTGCACGAGCGAGCAAAAGCCGATTTCCTATGGTCGCATTCACACCGACCGTCGCCGATCAAACAGCCATCCTCGACAACTTGTTCAACTTATTACCTAGTTGCTAATTATCTGCTTTTTATACGAACTAAATTAAACCTCCCAATTTTTTATCATTTATTAATTAATAATATTGAATCTCCAGTAAGATTATTGTTCCTAAAATTTAATGTTTTCGTCAATTCTGTGAATTCTTGATGAATTATGTGAATTATCGATGCATCACAATTATAATGACACTTGTAAAAAATATCATCGCACGAGACGATATGATATTTGTAAAATATTGCGCCTAAGAATCTCACTATTAAAACGAGGAAACTATAACGGAAATAATCTCTAAAACAGGTTAAGCGTAAATATCGAGCGACAGTTATAATAGTAAAAAAAAGTAATAGTAAAAAAAGCGAAACAATATTACTTGCAGAATGGGAGAAAATGAATTTGCGAGACTCTGCAAGTTCGAGAGTGGCACGGCTTTATCTCTTCGTGAAAATAAGTTACCGCCTACGAAATGAGATACCGCTCGAGTTTGACGTATAAAAATGTCGGAAGAAATATCTTACGATTTATATGATAAACCATAATTCACGAAGGAGTCTTGATAAGTCAATCGGGATTAACGGCAGAGAATTTAAATTAAAATTACCTAAAACAAATGCGCACAAATACGCTCGACTATCACTCTAAATCCGTAACAATGGAAATTTTACTGCTAATAAAAGTGAGTAGCAAAGTTATTGCTTTAAGTGTGGATATTCACTGCTTTGAAGTTAATCTGTCTACTCTTACATAAAGGAGTGGAGATTTTATACGATTAATCGAAGTGGTTTAAGCATTAGTTGATAACGCATTGCAAGATGCATTGAATGTTACTGCAAGGAATGAATTTAGCAATATAGCACCGCTATGTCGTTTGTCGCATGTCATGTTTATCGTTTGTCATGATCGTTACGGGCGAGATGCATCTTGAGACACGTATGACATAAACGTAATAGACAGATTAATTTATTTTGCAAAAAATTATATACGTATATTATACCATTATATCATTAAACCATTATTTTACCATTAAATAGATTAAATTTATAACGTATATAATTGTTTCAAAAATTTATAATTAAAAATAAGGTTAATAGGTTAATAGATTGATAGCATGCTCTATTCAAAATCTGTCTCCGCAGGCTTTGCTATCTGGGTTTGGAATGACATTATTCTGTCATTATTTTAACCTCCAAATTCACTCTTTTTTGGAGTAAATTTTTCACTCCAATTTTATGAAATGGATTTTCCATTCCCATCTTGCAGTAAAATTCACTGACAGTAACATTGGCGCAATTGCCACTAATGCCTGTATTGAAATTTTAATTTAATGCAGTGAAATTTCATTGCAACAGATTTAGAGTGATCGATAATACGCTTGTGAATTCATAATCGACAAAATTCCGATCGAAAAGAGCATACTGATGATCGCTCGATATTCTTGTAAAAGCCATCAATGAGAAAACATGTTCGAAGTAAACACAAATCGCTCGTTCTTCTTGTCGCTCGTATCTGCTTACGATCGCGATATCTGAAAAACGATCGTTGAAAAGCGTATAGGAATCTGTTGAGCGTATCGAGCAACGAAACGAAGTCTCATTCTTATCAAGATTCTATCGTTATGCACGTGCGGGACGCGGATCGAGCGACGATACGTGGATCGCATCGTAAAGTTGAAAGTAAAGTACCGATTTGCAATACCTCGGGAATACTTATCGGTGCAAAATCCGCGGATACAATCGCCGGAGAAATTCTCCGAAACAAATGAGGCGGATCTCCGGAAATCTTTCTTGAAGGAGAAAAAGAAGAAATAAAAACGACTTGGCTCCCAAGACACATGTGTCCGAAAATCTCTTGGGATACATCTCGTATACTCGCGACTCCCAAAGCGAACCCCACTGTTACATGATGGATGAGATGGCACGTGGCTCGTAAACATAAGTGCTATGGTGTTTCGCATCGCAAACTAGATCACTGCAACTTGGAGGGACGATGTATTATTATAACTTGATAGGGCTTGTGTTCGTCGACGATTTAGGCCAAGTCTGTCTAATTTAAGCTCCCCCCAAAATACAAGCCATCGACGTAAAAAAAGTCAATATAGGTAAGATTTCGAAGACTATAAAGTGTTGATACGCGTCTGAGTAATGCTTATCAATAATTTACAATCCATGAAATCTTACTTATATTGAGAATTTTTTTGCATCGATAACTTTGCATCGTTTTGGCTCCAATTAGCCTGATTTAGGCGAATATACATCACCCTTTCTCGGAAACTAATTAATGCAGTAATTATTATGCGGGGAGCGCGATTTCTATTTAATGGAAATATTTACTCTCGAAACAAATAACAATGCATCTCATCGTCGAAGTAAGAGAGAAGAATCAAGACTTTTTGTGCAAAAGTAGCAATTCGATTCGCTGTACGGTTGGTGTTTACATTAATAACAGAAAAAGATTTTTCAAGCTAGAAATCGGATATTTAACAATCTGTTATAGGTTATCTGCAATGTTATACCTCCATTGTAATCATCGCCTCGGAGAACTTAGTGTTCTCCGGAGAATTTAGGTTGTGTCTCAGGTTTCGCTTTTGTAAAGACATTCCACTGTGTAATAAGTTGAAATGTGAGGTCGTCACTTTGTAACACACACGCACACGCGCGCACACACACACACGCACGCACGCACGCACGCATGCACACACACCCTCTCTCTCTCATACGATGTTAACTTCAGTTACAGGACTCGCGACATAGCACTTCCAATGCTATAATCGATGTTACGGTTGCTGAAGCTATCGAATTCCGTTTGACATGTATATGACTCTAGTTTGGCCGAATAATACGAGACAGAGTAATACCCACAATGATCTAATGTGATGTATGAGATCAATTTGAAACACTTTACACACGTTTATATTACGAAATAATTTCGCCTAAATGGCGATAAATCCTTACGTTAATTATTGTAAGTAAACGTTAGTTTACTCATTATTGAAAATTTTATTAATTATTAAAGAGGAAGAATTTGAAGAGTAGCTGTAGTCTTTCCTTGTTTAATTGTAATTGTTAACGCAATTATAAGTATGATCACAGACAGAAAAAAATTGTTATAAACGCTAATCCTATATTATGACGACAAATTTTATTTGTAAATATAGGGATTGCAAAATTATATTTGCAGATATAATAAATACTTTTTTTGTACTCGCCACAAAAAAATATTTGCAACAAATGCAAAATATTTCTCAAATATGCAAATGCGTTTGCTATAAGCAAAGAAATTTGACAATTAAATTTTGTGATCTCTTTTTTTTTTATAGCAAATTTTTTCTCTCTGTGATATATAATTTTTCTCTGTTCAAACAATCTATAACCGCGATAAACAATCATATATGGTCGGAATTATCAAAATATCCCTAGGTTGATAATAAATATGTTGGAATATTTCTTAAATGTGTTGACACGCTAGTACAAAAGTGTGGTTTATGTTGGGAAAACATTTTTTACGAAAAAGTGAATAATGAATATTTCTTTAACATTTTCTGTACGTATAAATTTTCGATTTTCAGATTCAATGTAAAAACATTCATTTCGTTTGTTATTTTAACTTTATGTTTCTCCACACAGAGTACTTTGTGCGATGCCGAGCACACTCATCTTCCAATAAATATATTCTATATATATACAATATATATATATACATATATATCTTTTTGTGTGAACGCAAAAATCCCGTAGCTTCACGACGGGAATGCGCGGATGACGTAGTTATTGTATCCGTTACAAAAGCAGAGGTTCACAGTAAAATAAACCTCCGGATGTCTCCACTCATTTATTTGATAAATAGTTTCGCATGTTCATCAAAGTTTGTAATAACGTCGCGAATATTGTGACGTGCGGTGCCTCGCGTTTCCCGATTCTGGTTTTTTATATTGCTTTTTTTATCGTCAATCAACAAACCCTCGAATGCCTTCCAAATGTATTCGTAAATAAATCCGCATTTGGGTCGTCCCTTCTGGAAAAAGAATCACAGTCGCCAAAATCATGACCGGTAGCCAAACACGATGACCGTCGGATATAAATTTCAACGATCGAGTGGCTTGAGGGGTCAGTTTCACGATTATTCAGCTCTCACTTCTTATTCTTACATTGGTTTCTACGAGATAAAATGTTGCGTGAAAGGCGGAGGCGGTCTGAAAAATGGTCGTCCTACAATCTGAAACGCCCTTCTATAGAATAGCGACACGTACAGGCAAGGTCGGTAACCGTGTCAGCAATTTCACCCCTTGGAAACACAATGTCTGGAAAGAGCAGTAAGGTCGAAGCCCTTTCATCTCGAAGAAAGAACCAGGAAGTACAATCTCTATGGCGTGATCGCGAAGACTTCCTTCTCCTCCCTCTCCCCCCAAGTACAGTCACATCTGGGAGAAAAAAGTACGCGTAATTAACGTGTCAACTGTAGCACAACAGTCCGTTTTGCATAGAAGAAAAAAATATTCGCGACAATGATATTTGCGAGAAATACGTGGGAAGAAAAAAATCACAAGAAACTTACCGAGAGTGTAGGTATTGACAAAAAAAGAAACGCGAGTAAAAAAGAAAAGATCTGTTTTCTATAGCAGATAGTTGAACCAGTATACACTTTCGAAACTTAAGGTAAAATAAATATATGTATGTTTAGTATTTGGTGAAAACGAGAAAAAAAATTCTAATGAAGGAATAAAAAACAGATCTCGTATATTTGAAAAATTTAGTGAAATGGAGATTCTGCAGTATCAAAACATCATATCTCGGTTTAAGTGTCGAATT